GTCTGTGTAGAAGAATCCCCAGGATAGAGCCTCAAGTTCATCACAAGCAGAACGTACTTGGTCAGGATGCTCAAATCTCCCAAAAACATTCTCGTCAATAAATCTCTGTGGCTTCTGTGGCCAGCCGTCTGTGTTGGGCACATTTTTCCGAGGCATTAGAACATTTCTTTCATTGGTAAAAACTGCCATTCCTTTACTGCCAGGCTTGTTTCTAATAATAACTTCTCCATTCCTATCAAGGGTCGCCACCACTTTCTTGCTGTCATCTTTATTTCGCCATTGCAGCCCTACTGTAGAGATCTCTTGGGTAATCTTTTCCCCACTCTGACTGACCTGGACCAAAGTATCCCTAAGGTGTAGCTCTGTCTTGATACCGGCGGTCTCATAGAGGTCCCTCAGCAGGGTTTCAACAAATGCTTTGTCTTTTCCGACCTCACAGGCCACCACACTTGTTGTTTTGATTTGATCAGAAAGCCTTGGGGTTTGCTGAATAATTTTGGCGACTTCTTGTGCTCTGTATCCTGCCAGTGTCATCTCTCCTGAGTTGTCTCTCTTGCCATGGCCTACCAACACCAGTCTGCTGTCCTCTGACAGAGGAACAGAGTCACCATGAATCAGTTTTGGTTTTTGGTTCTTATCGAGAACATAGACAGACCTAACTGTTGGATGTTTCTCATACAGATAAGTAGCAGCATTTCTGACAACAGGGTCATCCTCCATAATAAGAATCTGCTGGTGATCATACTGTGTGCTGTGATCAATTGGTCTTTGTGGAATTTGGTAGCGTGAAACTGAGTCAACTTGGCTCATGACCTGGTAAATCTGGTGATTCTCTTGGTTTGTTTCTAAGACTGCTTTGATTCCATGGACCACAAAAACCCGAAGGAAGTTATGTTGGAAGTCTGTGGTTGTGTTTCCATCGAGGGAAAACACTGCTACAGCTTCCAGTGACAATTTCAACATCAACTCTGCAAGTGATGAGCCAGAAAGTCCAGACAAAGATTGTCCATCTTCTGAAACACTTCCAAATATTTTCACTACAGTGTAGTTGTCTGCAGTGTAGTTTTCTGGTTGACATGAGGCATTGTACAGGCATTCTGGGCTGACTATTACTGAGTAATGAGGATCATTGCGGTATTCCTGTTGGACTCTGTCATTTGTTGACTTTTCTTTGTCAGTCATGAACAGAAGTTTTTGGCTGTAGCTGTGAGAGATCTCCGAAGAACGTAGCAGCAAACTTTGTATCTTATGTTCATCAATAGCTCTCAGGAAGCTCTCAAAATCCTGGGGGGAAAAAATAAAATGAACATATAAAAGGAGATAATCAGATTAAAATTAGATAGATAGAGATTACTGTTTGTGCAAGGTGGTGTATCTTAATCTGTGTCTTCCGATGTATCAACTCTTTTGATAACTGCTTTTGTTAATTAAAAATCAATTGATTTTGGTTCTAGTTACATTGAGTTCAGCTATTCTAAACTTAGTGCTGCTTCTGATTTTCTTTCAAATTTTACCAACCTGTCTCATCTCAAGGACACACGCTGTGAAATTGTTCTTACACTCCTGCAAATCATCCTGTAGACTCAGTGGGTTTTGATCAATGTCCACCCTAAGAAAACATTACATAAACATTTACATGTTTATCACAAGAAGTACACAAATTTAGTTAAACCTGATAAAGACCACATGAAAAGTTAATCTGACTTAAGTTCTATAACCTAAATATTTTGCCATTGTATAGCAAGGCCTCAAGGACAGCCACACTGGATGTGTCTTTTCTGCAGCATTTCAGTTTCACAGAATCAATTTTACTACTATTTCTATTAAACATTTCAATTCACATTGAGTCTTTCTCGCAATGTGCTTATTTCTTGTAGAGTCACTGTAATGGAAATGTTTAAGAAACCTACATGACTCTTTGACCTGTTCAAGAGGATATTATATGCATAAACTTTTAACTTAATTTCTAACTACACTCTATGTTGACGTAAACAACGGGATGTTGAGTCTTCACTGAATATCCAAGAACATGATAAGACTCATTGTTGCACCACACTATGTATTTACTGCCACTGAACTCAAGACTGTGTAACTGTGTCTCAAACAGGGATAAATGGACAATGCCTTTTACTTTTCACTCATTTGAGCCTTCACCTACTGCTGTATGTGAGTGTTGTGATTAAATCCATCCATGGATGACTGAATAAACCATACAAAAAGACATACTTTGTATGCTATTTAAAGAACTAGTGCAGTGCCCATAGGAACGTACCCACGTATGTATTGCTATAGAAAAGTGTGAGGTTAAGTAGCTTTTTCATGGATGGCCAAATGAGGTTGTGTTTGAAGGTGGGACGTCAGGGACATTTAGG